AACCAGGGCTGCAATTAACCATCATTTATTTTATTAATTTATTATCAATTAGTCGTGCAATTCTTTTTTCAGTTGATTAATTGTTAAAAACAAAACCATTTAAAATGTCAAAAAGATTGTGAAAAAAAGCCCAAAGTGACATCCTAAAATGTCTAGTTTGCTTCAATAACAGTCCAAAAGACAAAGACATTCCCTACATTTGCAAATCCTTACATTTGGGATCTGAAAATTAGGACCAGTTGCGATTTTTTTCACTATTTTTTACTCTTGGTTAACTAATTGTTGCAGTTCTAAACTGAAAGCAGTGAAGCTACTATATGCAAACTGTTGTATTTTATATTCTCGGATCTCAGTGTGACGTCGTTCAAGATAAACCCTCAAATGCCTCCCAGTGAAATAAATACAAGACAAATCAAGCTGACCATCCAGCTCTGGTCAGCATGTTATGTTGTGTGTGTGTGTGTGTGTGTGTGTGTACATGTAACCACAGGTCATGACGTGTGGGCTAACACCGCTACAGGAAGCAGGAGGAGTCAAAAGGAAACAGTGTGTGTGTGTTCTGGTGGAGGTGTGAGCAGGTTCATTACTGACTGACAGATGCAGAGCTGAAAGATTCACGAGGAGCCACACCTATCAAACACCCCCCAACACACACATGCACACATGTGCACGTCCTCATTAATAATTAAACCTTCGATCATTTTAGCCATGCTCAGAAGTACATCCATCACCTTTCTATCTGCAAAGAAAGCAGCAACGCTTTCGAGTACTTCTGATCAATAAGTCGATACACCGGTCCGCTGGGCCTTCCAGTAAAATCGGGAAAGTCAGGCAATAAATGTCGAGTGAACCGAGACAAATAAATGTGTCTGATCCGTGACAAAGTACTCAGATGTTGTTACTTTACTTGTAGGCTAAGCTGAAATCCTCACAGACAAAGAGAAAATACAACCTCTGGGAAAGAGATGAGGGGGTTGTGGGATAAAGGGATGGACACACACACACACACACACACACACACACACACACACACACACACAGACAGACAGACAGACGGGTGAAAGACTGTCTGGGGGAGACCCCTCTCTTTTCCCTCAGAGGAGACATAAATAGATAGATTCCTGGTCCAGTGCCAAGATTTTCACCACTCAATGAAAACCAAAGTATTCCCACGTGGGGACGGGGATGAACGTACCAATGTGTGTGTATGTGCGTATGAGTGTTTGCACATTAACAATATAAATCTACCTATTACATTGAAGACTGCTTAAGACGTTTGGTTTGATTCTCTCTCTCTCACACGCACACACACTCAAGGACACATTTATCCCATTCTCACGCCCCCTTTTTTGTTCCCCTAATTTCATCCCCCCCCCCCCTCTCCTACCCTCCTCCTTCTCCATGGCAACACAGAATGCCATAGCGATGATGTCACCCTCTCACATAAAAAAAGAAGCATTACCTCACCACCACACGATAACCCCTACATTGCTCTCCGTTGGGTGGTTTCTCTACCAGGAAGTCCCTCAGCCAATCAGGCTTCAGCCTATTCCCTTGACCTTGTCAAACACAAGCTCGGCAGCTTTTAGACCTGCGTTAACCCCTCGAGGACTTTATTTTCACTACATTAAATAACTAAAACACAGCAGAGGAGAGCAGGTTGGGCGGCTATAATTGCGCCGTCAGTAGCTTTCGCTCTGCGCTGACTGTGGGAGACAATCTCTTTATCTGTGGCCCTGTGGTCCATTTAGCTGGTAAACCGGAGCCCTGGCAGACTGCGAGTGAACGATGAGCATCGCAGCAGTTTCCTTTGTGACCATTAAGCCGCCCTGACCGACTGATTGTCAGCACAGTCGTCTCACTTGTTCCACTGAGAGGAAATGATAATTCGGCGAACTCTGGGAACCATGATGAGTGTTTCAGCAGGATTCAGGAGAGACAGCGGAGCTCCTGTTCATCATCAGGTCTCTTAAACAGAGTAGTTTAGGGTGTCTCCAACAGCTTAAACACAAACTGAGGAAACGAATACATGAAGTGAAAACAGCCCAGTGAGTCAGTTCAGGCTGAAAGAATTAAATACAAATAATAATAATCATCAGACAGGCTTTATGGTTCGGCTTATCAACTCCTGATAACAAAGAAATACTGAACAATAATTCTCATTATTAATTCGTCAGGTATTTTTACCGACATTTTAAGAATCCACACATCCCACTTGTCAGCAAAAGTTTAGTGAAACTGAAAACTTGATGATACTGTAGACTGGAACTATCAGATAGTATTCAGTCTATAGGAACTATCTTCAATATTTGTAGGTTTCTGAATGTATTCAGCATCTCTGACTGATAAAAGTCACCATCGGCCACCATTAAAGTCCAAATAATATCATCAATTCCCCTCCAAAAAAAATCTAAAGTTTATATAAAACATCATGTTGTCGATCCAACATCTAAACCAATCAGCAGTGCTGCCTGATCCAAGACACTCACAAGACAGTTATCACAACAGCTGCTGTTTTATCATTCATCATGACGATCGCAAGGTAAATGGTAGAAATACAGCATTTACTTTATAATGTTAAATAATGTACCAGGAACGTCTGCTTTCGATTGGCCAAAGCAGCACTAGTAGCTGGACGACGTCGCTTTGTGTTACAGCAAAAGTTCAGCCGAGTGGAATTCAGGAATGACCTTTAATGCCTAACTTTTAAGCCAACAGAGAAGTCCTGAAGGTGCCATCATCATGTCAACAAATTGAGCAAAATCCACTCGATGATAAAGTATCTTAAAGTGAATTCTGACAAAGACAAATACTTCTTATGAAACGATCAAGGTCAATAGAAAAGTGACAGGACTCACAGAATGGAGAGAAAATGAGGGCGTTAATCCTCCTTTCTTCACATGCAGGGTTTACGTCTGGAGTTGATCTGCTGCAAACGGGACCAAATTGAATTTTTCGAAAGTGTGATTAAAGTATTGTAGTGAGAGTCAAAGGTTGAAGCTCGGGAGCAAGCGATTAATCAAAAAGTCCCAACACACAGGACGACTCCTTTCTCCTCTCTGAAAATGTTATCAGCAGGTATGAACCCTGGAGACATTACGGCGAGGAGGACGAGGAGTTCTTGGTGCAGACACAGAGCAAAGTGTCACTGGATGAGTGGAAAAGGAGAATATCATTAAAAAAGCTAACAGTGTATGGCCAAATAACACTAATAGCAATACATTTTATTTATACAGCACCTTTCATGCATACAATGCAGCTCAAAGTGCTTCACAGAGGAAAATAAAAACAAAACAAATAAAGAAAAAAGATATTCAATAACATACTAAATTACAGAGTGCTGTGGCACAAACCAAAGATATTAAAAGGATATAACCAATGAACCAGGTCAGAATCACATGGCCTAATATATTTATACTGTTTGTACATATTTAGACAAGTATAAATAAACATGACCACAATGTTATTTCTGGCTTCTTTGGAGTAAAAATTAAAACTAGACGTTCAATGAGATGAACAAATGAGTTTTCCCTTTTGACAGCCTGGTTGTGCTGGATAACATGCTTATCTACTGTGAAACACACACACACACACACACACACACACACACACACACACACACACATCTGAGATACATAAAACGATGTTAAAACCATAACTTGCACCCTTCAGTATTTTGACTCACAGGAACACAAGCATAAGTCCGGTGACAGGACAGAAGCATTCAATGATAATAATAAAGTCCACAACACACACAATGTCCGTCACATGCAGGACAGCAGGGTTTGATTCACTGTCTTGCTTTGACAAAAGAGGGAAGTCACTAAGAAATATGGGTCTTTGCCTCCAGAGACAGAAGTGTGACTGATGTGTGCTGCGTCAAGAGGGAAGTGAGAGACAACCTAAAGAGAAATGAGTAAATCACCTCAACCCACAGAGGGACACCTTTCAGTCTCTACATCCTTCTAACGGACTCTGTACAGTACAAGATACTGTAGGTTTGACACGGTGTGCAATTCAAACACTGAATTATGACGTTTTGTGCTTTTGGTTATCAGCTGACACAATAAAAGGTATTTTATAGAACCTTGTTTTAGCACATTTAATGTTTTATAGATTAGTAAATAATGATCATTGGTTGCAACTTCTATATTAGGAAATAAGAAAATAATTTAAGCTTCAAAAGTGTTTGAAAAAGTTTTGTTAGTTTGATAAAAAAAACAGTGCACATCAGTATAGAACTTGGAAAAATTAGCCATAATCTCATTTTCATCTATATTAAATTCAATAGAGCTTCGGCTATTCGTCAATTCATTGATTAGTTGATCAAAAAAATAAAGTAATTGGCAACTATTTCAATTGATTTGAACAATGCAGAACCTGTCTGATGGTTCTGAAATTCTCAAATGTGAGAGTTTGCTTCTTTCCTTGGTCGAACATATTACAGCATGTCACACAGTAGCACAATCAAGACATTTGAAGACGTCACCTTGTTTTATAGACCAAACCATTTCTCAATTAACCAAGAAAATAGTCAGAATAATCGATAATGACAATAATTCCTGCAGTCTTATTCAACAGACTGCAAAACGGACAAAGAGACAAAAAAGAGACTAAAAGTCATAAAAGTGCTCAGACTAACGGAAAGTTTGAACGTTTATAATTCTATATAGCCACAAAGCAAACTCCATCTATGGAAGAAGACCATGTGATACGGTCAAAAGCCCAGGAACAAGCAGGTAAGTTGACCTTAAGTTAAGCTCTTTTTGTTAAAAGTTTCACTCAGTCAGTGACAGCATGCCATTACATAACTGTAACGTCCCAGGATCGGTTCGGGCCCAGAGACCTTTGTTGCATGTCTCACCCCTCTCTCTCTCCCTCTATAAACAGCAAAAATGACCCCCCCCAAAAAACCTTAAATCTATTAGGCCTGAGTAACATCCTCCTCAAACTAGAAACTCAACAAACGTCCAGCCACGTACTTCCACTGGTCCACTTACTTTCTGAGTTGCTTCTCGCTACGTTGGTCCTTTGCTGACATGTCACCCAGGGGAGCGACGCTCTTGTTTTGACAGTCAGAAGACAGACTCATGCCAGCAGCTCTGATGCTCGACCAGCCTCGCTGTCACAACCATCAGTGACTCTCTGTCTCCCTTCCTCTACTTCCTCTCAGTGCAGCTGCACAGAGGGGTCATGATTCTCCATCAACTATTTCCTGTTCTCTGCCCCTCCCATGGCCTTTTCTTCTTCTTTTTTTGTATCCTCATTAGAGCCGCCCTGGTAATGTCAACTCCTTATTTCATGTACTATTCTTCCACACGCTCAGTCAAATCACATGTTGCTTTTATGCATCATCTTTTAAACCCTTTCCACCTCCTCTCAACTCATTTAATCTGCCAACCTACTCACAGGAGCTGAGGTGTTTTGTTCAATAACACGACAGTCATCATCACATAAGTTGAGCTCTGTGAAGTATTACCTCATTTAAGAGCGTAACTTAACTCACAGATACACAAACAAAAAGTCTCATTCTGGCTGCAACCCGTCTGTTCACAAACCAGCTGAGTCAGATATCGTCTACACTTCTATCAGCGTCATCGACCAGCTGCTCAGATTGGCCCGAACATCCTCAGACATCTAGACACACAGAGGAGCCTTGCTGATAATTTGGCAAAGCCAGTAAATCAGCTGATATCAACTTATCACTAATATACACACTATATATTGGTATTCTTGTATATGTCTGCAAATCAATATAAAAGTACACCAATGTCTAATACATGTATACAGATAAATATGTCACATAGTTTGTCCGCGAGAGAGCTCTGACAAGCTTATTTAATAACCAATTTTAAGGGGTCCTTATTCAAAAACGTTTGCTTATGCAACTTTTTGGGCCTGCCATAATTTCAGGTGATGCATTCAGATTCAGTTACGAAGCCCAGATACATTTCACTTTAATATCATATATGATATATCATAAAGAAAAGCATCAAATCACCACATGTGAGAAGCTGAAACAGTAAGTCTCGCCTCATTAACATCACTGAACCTTCAACACTGTCAGAGTTCAGTATCGAGGTCCTGCATTAAGATTTATGTTTCATTTACTCAGCTCAGTAAACTATCCGACAAATAGGAGCCATGAATCATCCATCATGTCCTGCAGCTTCTGTCACCGGGCAGACTTCATCTGCAGGTAGAAACAGCTGAGTCACTGCAGCCCTTTTTGTCTGTTTCTGAGCCAGAATTCACTGCTTCAGAGAGCTGCAAGGAAAGATATGGCGTAGCTGAGACTTTGCTACATCTACGCACGATTCTGGCCGTAATTATTTAGTGATCTTTATCTTTTATTTAGACGGTGGCAGTAATGTTGCTCGTTCAGACGTGAGTCAGGGTGACAGAGGGACAGATGGAGGCAGAGATGTGTCCTACAGCACATGGTGGCGGTGGAGGATCTGCAAGCTTTGTGTCAGCTCGTCCTTAAGAAAAGGAGGTGAACAGTTTCAACTATCTTTTCACAACAGCTGCGTCGAAAATGGGAGCACATGAGTATGAATCTATCACCAAAACAAATTAGAAAACAATACATGTATCAGTACATGCATACTTTAAAAGAAGAGGTTGTCAGCTAAAGTGCTAACGAAGCACAAGCCCTTGTCGTCCTTTGGGAAGCAGAAGTAGTTTCATTGGGAGCAGGACGATGCTGCACTGTGCTGCAGAGAGACTGCAGCACGGGTCAAGTATTCAGAGTCAAAAACAAGCACACCTCGATCAGATGATGATTCTCATCTGCTTTACCTGGTTTAATGCACATTTCTAAAGCTATTCTTACCAATATAGCTACAGACAATCATGGAGAAATTAATTGAGCAATGAAATAATAATAAAATGCAAATTCCACACAGTGAATGAAAAACATGAAACCAAAAGGATCATCATGCTAATAAGCAAAGGACCAGAAATCCCCTTATTCCTCATTCCCACGAGGCAACGAGAGGTTGGGACTGTCTCCAGAGTCCTATCATAACGACGCAACACGCCTTCTTACTTCGTGTCTTTCCTCAAATATCAAGAGCTGCTTTAAATTAATTCCCTCAAATCCACATTGAAGGCAGTAAGACTCACCCAGCAGCTCCCTGATGAGAGCCCTCACTGAGAGGCATCTGGAGAGCCTTTTCACAAATATTGAATGAATAAATAAATTACAATTTTGAATTACTGTTTAATTGAACAGAGAAGCAGGTTTTTAGTCACACTGCAGAACTGTAAAGGAACATAAGATTAAAAGAGGCGTGACAAATTTGAAGCAAAGACAAGCATCTAAAATTTGGAGCATCTAAATGAAGACTTTTGGGGTTTTTTGGCACTAAAAAAGTGATTACCTGCAACTTGCATTAATATATTGTTGGTCTATTTTCACGCGTCACAGAAGGAAAAGCCCAGGATTAAATTATAAAATGAAAAACAGCTGAATTTCATGTAGCTGCTTTAGTTTCAGGGTCCTGGTGTTGTGCATTTTGCCCCTCTGTCACACTGTCACGGGTTACTGGGACACTTGAATATAACAGAGCCATTGTTCATGTTTTTTACAAGTTAAACCAAAAGTGAATGCATGTTGGTAAAATGTCTCGTTGCAAAGGAAAAGTGTGAAGCAGGAAGTTGGCCTGTAGGCTGCGATGAATGTCTACAACAGCCGTTGCGTTTAAGTTCGTCTAACCTGTGGGTTTGACTGTGTGACTGTTTGTGTTTCTTGTCCCATCTGTGTCCCGTCTTCTTTTTGTGATAAAAATCTTCTGAGCGAAGAGTCTGGGACTTTTTTCTTGTTGATATTTACATGATATGCCACCATCTGGGGTGTTGCTCCAATCTGTGAGATGGTTGTTTCACTACACTACACAGAAGAGTCGTTCAAAACCACTGTGGATTATTTTCAGGTCGTGTTTACTGCTCCGTTCTTCTTCTGTTTATTATAAACAAACCAATGTTGCAGCGTCGCTTTTTTTACTGAGATTTTTCACAAACGTGAACATCGACAAAATGTAAAATGTTGTCAGAACTGGTTTTTAAATATATTTGTGTGAAACTGGCAAGAACATCACAGATTACCACTACTTCAAAACTCAAATACAAGAGATGACTGGATATACCATATCAAAGGTCAAAGACAAACATCTTTTTCACGTAGTTCTGTGAGAGCTAACATGTTAAAATACCTGACAAAAGTACTCAAGCTCTCACAATAACTAAACGGTACGGCAGCATTCCTAATGAAGAGGACACTGTGGTGTTTGCAGTTACAGTTGAGCTTTGGGACGAACAGAAGTCCGACGATGTAAAAACAGATCTCAGTTAGAACATGTTCCCATGAAGGCTGCTGTATATACAGCGAGTATTTCTCCCTCCACCCTCGGGACCCTGCAGTCTTCAAACAACACTCTGAGCACTTTAATTTCGCCTTCCCCTCTGCTATTATCGTCTCCACTTCCTCTTCACTGGAGTAGTGCTCTATTGCAGCAGCGGGCCCTGCAGTTAGATATTTTTAGTTTGGATTTAAGCTCCGTTTCTCAGTCCCACTAGTCAATTCTCCACGGAAGTCTTGTCTGACTGGCGAAGTCGTCTTAAATCCTCCTTTTCTATGACAATCCTGCTCCTCCCCGAGGATTTGGATCTGGGTCAAAGAAAGATTCCCTATCATTTTTAGACACGGTGTGGGAGGTAGAGAAAAATCTGGATGATTTCTAGGAGGATGCAACACTTTCTAGGAGACTACAACTCTGTTTCTTTTCTTTTTTTAACAGATTTTGTTGCTCACACTAATTAAACTGTTCTGGTGTGTGTTGTGCCACAGAAGGGCTGAAAGCTGCAGGATGATATCCGACAGCTTAAAAGGAGTTTGAGGGAGCCGGCACCACGCTCAAGTTTGCACCTAATGATGGTACGGTTGCAACGAAATGCAAAGTATGCTTTTATTTTATGTCAAAGTCCAAAGTGCATACAAATGCAAACAAACAAAAAAGGTGGGAAATGAGGTCACACACATAAATGCACTCAAATAAGAGAGAAATGCAAAAATGCAAACACTTCTAAAAAAGACACCCCACTGAGACAAACTGCAAGCCTTCATCCACGCTGAGGCATTCAGCCATCTCATCAACACACACACACACACACACACACACACACACACACACACACACACA